TAATTTAAGGATACATGAAGCAGAGAAAGATCACAATTGGAGGGCAACTTTGCAAGAGGAGCTCGCTATGATTGAAACAAATCAGACTTGGGAGTTAGTTGAAAGACCTCAACATCAGAAAGGGATTGGAGTGAAATGGGTATTCAGGAAAAAATGAGAATGCGGATGGGTCACTCAACAAATATAAAGCAAGGTTAGTGGTTAAAGGGTATGCTCAAGTTTTTGGAGTAGATTACTTTGATACTTTTGCTCATGTTTCAAGGCTAGATACAATCAGAATGTTACTAGCTATTGCAACACAAAAGCAATGGAAAATCTACTAACTTGATGTCAAGTCAGCTTTTTTAAAAGGCTTTTTGGAGGAAGAAATTTATGTTGAGCAGGCTTTGTTGCAAAAGGTGATGAAGACAAGATCTATTTGTTGAAAAAGGAGTTGTATGGCTTGAAGCAGGCTCCAAGGGCCTGGTATAGTAGAATTGATGAATACCTGCTGAAACTAGGCTTTGTCAAAAGTCATAGTGAATCCACATTATATATCAAAGACGATAGAAATCATTTTTTGGTGGTTTCTTTATATGTGGATGATATTTTAGTGACTGACAGCAACATTTAGCTTATTCAACAGTTCAAAGAAGATATGATGAGAGTCTTTGAGATGACTGATCTTGGAGAAATGTCATATTTTCTCGGAATGGAAATCAAGCAAAGACGAAATGAAATCTTCATTTGTCAACAAAAGTATGCAAAGGAGATTCTAAAGAAATTTAACATGGATAATTGTAAGAGTGTGAGCACTCCTATGTGTCCAAAAGAGAAGTTATGTAGAGATGATGGAACAGCTAAGGTGAATGAGTCCATGTATAGAAGCTTGATTGGTTGCTTAGCTTGATGTATCTTACGGCAACAAGACCGGATATCATGTATGCTGTAAGTGTTCTTTCAAGATTTATGAATTGTGCTAGTGAGTCTCATTTCAAGGTTGCAAAAAGAGTTCTCCGATATGTGAAGGGAACTTTAAGCTTTGGTGTTAAATTCTGTCAAACACCAAATTTTGAATTGCAAGGTTATTCCGACGGTGATTAGGCAGGGTCCATAGATGACATGAAAAGCACTTCCGGTTTCTGTTTCAACTTTAGATCTAGAATTTTTACGTGGAGTTCAAACAAGCAAGAAATTGTGGCTCAATCAACCACGGAAGCCGAGTTCATATCAGCAACAACAGCTGTCAATCATGCCTTATGGTTAAGAAAAACTTTAAGTGAACTGCACTTGGAGCAAAAGGCGTGTACCGAAGTTATGGTTGATAATCAAGCAGCTATAACTATCTCAAACAATCCAGTTTTTCATGGAAAGATCGATCAAGCATTTTAGCATCAAGTTAGGTGGTGCAGTTTTGTAAAACTGAAAATCAGTTGTCAGATATAATTAGAAAGCCTCTTGCAAAGAGCAGATTTGAAGAGTTGAGAGAAAGACTTTGAATTTGCATCTACTGATGCAAGGAAGAGTGTTTGAACGTTGCATACTTGCATTAGTAGCTTTAGACTTTTTTCAAATTATTCCCATGTTTAGTTTGTTTTCATTTACCTAAACCTTTAAGGGGGCGTTTGGTTCACGGAATCTTGGATTACCTAGGTCATCTGAGTCTGGTAATGTTATATTACCTTGTTTGGTTCAAGTTATGAGATTACCAGGTAATGTTATATTACCTGAAAGCTGATGTGGCGGTAATGTTTCAAGGTAATGTGATTACCCCCATTTTTTTAGGTAATCTTAGATTACCTTGAATTATTCCAACTTTGCCCTTGTTAACTAATAATAATAATAATAATAATAATAATAATAATAATAATAATAATAATAATAATAATAATCCTATATATAATAAAGCCATATGGTCTTGTGAAAATTAAATGGTGATAATCAACATTTAATTTTCACAAGACCATAATAATATTGTTAATTATAATAACAATAACAATAATAATAATAATTGTAATAATAATAATGATATTAATTTCCATTGAAAGCTTCTTTTATATATATATATATATATATATATATATATATATATATATATATATATATATATATATTATATTTATTTATATATTGTTAATTATAATTATAATTATTATTATTACAATTATTATTATTATTGTTATTGTTATTATAATTAACAATATATAAATAAATAATATATATATATATATATATATATATATATATATTTATTTATTTATTTATTATATTTATTTATATTTCAATTTCTACTGGCAAATTATTGTGTGAACGATGGTCCACATAATTGTATGGATCATGAATATTAAATACATTTTTAATATATTAAAAATACATTATTTTTATATTGAAAGTATCTTACATACATATATAATGTACCCTTAGTATATTTAAAATATACTTTTTATTGCATGCAACCCCAAAGTTCATAAGTTTGAAATTAATATATGGCATAACTAGGTGGCCTAATATTTAAGATTGTTGATGTGCATATTGAGGACTACGGAGACAAAGATGCGTTATTCGTGGATTCATCGGATATTATCCAACAACACTCTCCAACTTAATTGACGTGAAGTAGGCTTAGTAACATTAAGATTATGTTCTCGAATTATTAGTTCTCATCTTTTATTGATTACACACTTAATTCGATAGTATTTGGAAGAAAAAATCAATGTTCACAGCAGCAAATTAAAACAAAATTGTATAAACAAAAAAAATTATAAAGTATAGTTTTATGAAAAGTTTGAAACGTACCGTAAATTTTGGTAGAAATTGATGAAAAATTTATCTGGTTGAGATAGAGATAAAAGTCTATAGAGAAAATTGAAAAGTTTGGGGTTGGAGGGTCAGATTTCATCTATTTATATTAATGAAGAAAAAGTCCACAGAAATCCTATTCTGATAGAGTCTATGAAAGTTGATAAATATTTGAATACCAGTAGACTTTTACAGACTAAGTCTGAAACGAATACCAATATACTTTTAAAGACTTTTGAAAAGTCGAAATCGAATACCGGTAGACTTTTAAAGAGTCTTTAAAAGTCTAAATTGAATACCCCCAAACTTTGAAAGTCATTAAAAGTCTTTAAAACTCTTTAAAAGTCTGGATTGAATACACCCCCCTAAGATTGTGATTTTAGTCTTTAAAGGTCAATTGTATGTTGCTACATCTAGATTTAGAAATCTCAAAGGTCTAAAAATTTTGATCCGTGGTGACTCTAAAATTGCAATTCAATTACTATTGTAGTTTACTAAGTTCTTAAAAATTTGTAATATTAAATACTATGTACTAAAATTTTAATATATTTTAAGATTTGTAGTAATCATCCACCTTAAATATTACTCCCTCCGTCCCATTTTCCATGTCTTACTTTCCTTTTTAGTTTGTCCCAAAATGTTGTCCTCTTTCCAAAATTGAACATCAATATCATTCTACTTTTCCAATTTACCCTTATGACTTTTGCTTTTATTTCCAAAAGTAAGAAAAGTGAAGGGCATAATTGGGAAATGACATAGCATTTACTTTAATTCCTTAAAAAGCGTGCAAAAAGCAAATGAGACAACCATTTCAGGACGGAGGGAGTATATTAATTGTAAATATATTTATGTTCATAATTTTATCATAGGAATTCACACATAATAATTATTAAATAACAAAAATTTTATATATGAATAAACCTCATATAGGATATATTTTTATAACATATTTTCCGTGCATCGCACGGGACAAATACTAGTAATAATAATAATAATAATAATAATAATAATAATAATAATAATAATAATAATAATAATAATAATAATAATAATAATAATAATAATAATAATAATAATAATAATAATGAAATTAATATATGTTTATATAATCAAATATACATATGTGTATATTTATATATTTAGTTTTTTTTTAATATTTAAATTTTGATATACATTCATACATATAAATAAATAAATACACACACATAATATATATATATATATATATATATATATATATATATATATATATATATATATATATATATATATATATATATATATTATTGAGGGCATTATTGTAAATTGATTCATATAACTTAAAATATAACCCTGAACCAAACAAGGAAATATTATATTACACCATCCAAACCAAACACACAAGGCAATCTTACATTCCCAAAATCTCACATTACCTTCCAGGAGGTAATCCTATTACCTGGGGTAATCCAAGATTCCGTGAACCAAACGCCCCCTAAGAGTTTAATATTTGATTGTCAGTTACCATTTGAGTTAGTGGATTAGTGACTGTTTTTTGTTTTTCAGTTTCATCTGTGTATTTAAACAATATTTTCACAGTTAATGAAATGCATCTTTTCTCAGAAATAACCAACAAGATGTCTATGTAATGAGTTGGAACCAAGAAAGTCAATAGACTGTTTTCACATGAAATCATACTTTAAATATTGTAATTATCAAATAAGGTAACCAACAATGTCAGCCAACTCAATAAAAGCTAATAAGTCAAACTTGAAACGTTATAACTCCCACAAGTTGTCAAACTTAGAACATTACAATTATCAAACCAACAGCCCGACCAACTCAGCTAAAATTGCCTCAGAATCCTTATTTTGGCTCCAAGAATAAAGCTTTTTCTATGGAAATATCCTCTGATAATGTCGAGGTTGAACTTCCATTTGACAATATGTAATGGTAAGCCATAAAGCCAAAAAAAAATGCAAGTATAAATGAAAGATGGCAGCTGAAATACTTCAAATTCTTGTAACAAATATTTGAGTTTTTCCATGATAATAAACATCCACTGCTGCACCAGAATTGACAGGAGTAGTCTTACCACAGAAATCAATTAACTTACACAATTAAACACCAAAAACTAAAAACCTATGTCTGTCTAATTAGCCTCTGCAAAAGGAATTTTAGTTGAACATACAACAGGAAGAGGAGGGTGAAAAACAAGGTTGCATCCAATCGAAGCAATGCCCTCGTCGTTACTTCCAAAGCTTAATGATCTTGTCATGACTGGCTGAAGCAACCAAACCCGCCACTGTCGATACAGCCAACGAAGCAATCAATCCTTCATGTGCAGGAAGCGTCATCGTTTTGTTTTCGGTCATGTTCCAAAGCTCTAGAGACTGCAAGAAATGCCCTTTGGCTAGTTAGTTAGCACAGAATCACATTCTTATATGGATGTTATCGGAAGTTGAATATGCAAAGGTTTCACAGTAAGTAGAAACACGAGGAGTTGATAAATTGCAAAATTAATCTCTAGGAGCGGAGATAAGTTGATAACTTGCCTGGTAACAGCCAATAACTAGCAATGAAGAGTAAGAAGGATGGAAAACACATGAGTGAAATTTATTTCCATTTGAACTAAGTTCGTGTACACAATTCCCTTCGCTTCCTGAACCAAGTGTCCACACTCTCACTGAGTCCTCGCTAACTGAAGCCAGATGCTCGCCTGAAGGGTCCCAGCACACAGAGTGAATTGGTTTTGTATGACCCTACAAATCAAAGAATGGATCTGTAACATCCCACTTTAAGGAACATAAGGACAGGCAACACAACATAATAGTAGACTATTTCAAAGGTTTTTTTTTAGTACTACTGACTCTGTTACACAATGCAGTATATGTTCATAACCACTTTCGCCTCTATTGAGGCTCGAACCACAACCTCCCATATGGAAAAGCAACTTGGTGCCACTAGACCACAAGGTCCTTGGCAAACTATTTCAAAGGTAAGGCACAATATTAGTTTCTTTTCTCTTTTTGGGTAATGAGGGAGGGCACTACCCGAGGGTGTGCACAAACACCGCCTTGTGACCTTAGCCGGCAAAGGACCACAAGGAGGTAAACCAACCTAGGTAACTAGGTTGGCCCTTAGCTGACCAGCTCAAACCAAGAAGGTCAATAGACCGCTCTCACTAAGAGTCGGACTTGGAACCTTGTGGTTACCAAGCCAACAGTCTGACTAACTTGATTGGGGTTGCCCCGGCAAAATATTAGTTTTGAACACTAGGCTAGCCAATAGCCATAACAAATTCTCCGACGAATTCTATGCACTCACCTTTAACGTCTGTCTGCATGTTTGTGTCTCCACATCAAGAATTGATACAACATTCTCAGCAGCAGCTGCGAGATACCTGCCAAGACGAGGCTGAAATCTCACCTGAGCCGTCCCACCCTATTTCAAATAATGAACATCACAATCAAGTTATGATATCAAATAAAAATGACAGTGAGGAAAGAACGCATCAGATTCATAACATGGAACTGAAATTATTGTACCTTGAACGCTCTTGTGCAGCTACCGTTGGTGATGCTCCAGTACCTAATCTCACCATCCCCATTACAGGAACAGATCAAGTCTTCTTTATTGGGATGGAAATCTAGTGACATAACACCAGCAGAATGCCCAGTAAAATTCCGAAGGGAGTAGCCAGGCTACACAAACAATACAGGTCCAATTAGGATCGTTTTAAAGAAACCGTGGCAAGAAGCTTCTCTCGAAACCTCCTTTCCGTTTTTGGTTAGATAAAAAAAGGACTCACAAATTTGAACGATCAACCAAAGTTTTAAGTTTGGACATGAACAAATTACAGAAAGAAAAGAAACAAAGTACAGTATAATGTTGGCTTACATTGTCAGCACCCCAAACTCTTACACTCTTGTCGAATGTTGCAAGGCGGGCCATGCTTGGACTAAAATGAACATCAGTTATAAGTGATGAATGTTCTTCTAGTGTAGTTTTTGGCTTTAAGGTATCTGTATGCCACAAAACAGTCTGCATGACCGGATAATGAAACAAAACTTGTGAAGAACAATTAATATGAACCAGTGAGAAAATTCAGTAGCTCTACTTCGTGAGAAATTGTTCACCTTTTTATCATGGCCACCACTGACAAGCAGCTTTCCGTCTGATGATGAGAAGTGGCAGCAGACTACTTTACTGACACTTGCACGAACAGAGTTTACTTCCGTCTGACTAAAACAACATTAAGTGCAGTATATATTCTTTGGTAGAGTTGATGTTTTAGAAGATTTATCAAGTTCAAAATAGTGTAGTACTCCATTTTACATAATTTTGAGAATATACATCAGAGACAACAATTTTGCAAAAATATGACACAAGATGTAGCATGCTACCAATCTAGAGAGTTCATAGACATCAATCTTGAAACACCATATAAAAGCACAAAGGACAAATCAGGAAAACAGAGAAAATCAGCAAAAGATATAAGAAAATGCATTTCGTACTAGAAACTACTTTTGTTTCTCAAATGAAGGTTAAACCATTGCATCATGATTCATGAATAATAGTCAAACAGCCGTCTAAATCATCCCAGATTCAGTTTCCAAAGGTCTGAATTTTCTTTTTCAGAATAAAATACAATGATAATAAATACAATGTATATTTTGTAGAAACAATGAGTGTTTAAGACTACACAAAGAACTATCACCCTCAAATTTACAAATTCAACAGATTTGGAAGGTTAAGCAAAAATGTGGTCAATATAAAAGCCAGTCAACTATCAAGAACCTAAATAGGTCAAGTAATTTGAAAGATGGTGCATTTTTCTATTATTATACAAAATGGAGGACTGCATAGAATGAAACAACATAAGATCAGATTGTGAAATGCTTATGGACCAAACGTGTGAAGATTAGTGTATTAGACCATCTTATGTTAAATAGATATTGTCTAGCACAATAGAATAAAACAGGATAAGTAGCTATCCATTTCCAGTCTTCCTCATGGGTAAAGTTGGGCTTTGAAAACAAATAAACAATAGAACCAGATGGAGGATGTCACCATATAGCCATAGATCTTGTTGGTTTCTTCTCCGAGACATTACCATGGAGAGATGTGGTTAAATGGTTAATATCCACCTACTTATCACTAATTGGTTTTAAGTAGGATATGGCAACCAAATAGCCAAAGAACTCCGTGGTTAATCGTGTTTGACTTACCACAGTCACACAGGATGAGTGTCCCACTCGGAAGTAAGCATAGTGCAGTGTTGAGATCCAATAAGTGGTTTTTTCATGCATGTGGATCCTCTATGTACAATGTCCTCAAATATTGAAGGGCAAGAGGTAGCTCATGTGCAGGTAGAATTTCACTAGCCTGACCTAGATATCCTTGAGGATCGTTTTGTGTTGTCTGCAAATTTTTACTAGGATTATACTCCATTTTACCTTGCAGAAATTTGGAAAGACTACAGCCTGGGGGATTCTAGATATGCAGCATAGGATTCTTGTATAATATATGTTGAAGGCATCAAAGCTATTCTAGATGAACCAGTATGAAATTACTGCAGTTTACACTATAGCTACAAAGAGCTGATCGAGTAGATAGATAATTCAAGTGGGCACTTCTTTGGACATCTCTAAGGAACTGCTATATAAGTAGTAGTTTATAACATGTCTTGGACTCTTGGAGGTTTATAATTTAGCTTTAAGCCCCTAAATAGTTGTGAATTTTTCTGGAATGGTTTCCTAGAATCATATTAGTCCACTGCTAGAAGAGGATATATTGAGTCACTGAGGGTGGATACTTTGCAAGATTGTTGAGTATATAGAAGCAATCTGTAGTTACTCTATGCAGTCAAAATTTGAAAATCAAATACACGAGCATATTATGCAAGAGGTAAATTGTATCCACATTCTGGGAAACAAGAACACCATAACTAGCAGCAAACTCACCTTTACTGGAATCCATACCACGACCAACTGTATCTCTTGGATCTGCATCATCATGAGATAAAAAGGATGGTGTTATGAAGAAAATCGAATTGCTGCAAAGATGAAAGCTAATGAACCATTATATTGTTTGGATAGAGTAAGTTCAGAACTAACATCTCAACCAAATACCAAATCATATTTAACACTAACACTTCAATGAATCGCACAATCCAATAATACAGTACTATCACTTCAGAACCATTGTTTTAATACAATAACAGTTCAACCAACGAACCAGCCAACATAATCGATGAACTCCAACACCAACTCAAAAAAACCCAAAGAAACACCATTGTAATAACAGTCAAGCTGCAAATGAGACACACCAAAACTTCAGCCAGCCAGGATGCATTTCTGGGAATGAAGCCAATGCATCATTGTAACTTGTATATGATTCCCTTCAAGAAACACAAACAGAAAAGCTAATTCTTTGCAAATACCCAAAATAAAATGTCTAAATGAGATGGTAGCTAGGTTTTGATGTTTCATTGGTAATTTGGTATGCATACCTTGGTTAAACCAGATTTCCTCAAACACAAAGTTATCAAATTGCGTACTCACCCCTTTTATCTGAGCTTTCATTGGTTGGCAGCTCAATCTAATAATAAAAAAAAAAAAAAAATTAAAAACCAGAAAAATTTAGAAAAAAATAGGAGAGGAAGGAGGGATTAAAACAATGATTAATAGAACCAAAACACTCATAAACTATTTATCAAAATTCATAATTCATAAATGTGGATTAGAGAGAGACCTTAGTTACATCACGAACAACAAGTACTCCTTCATCTCCCAACTCTAGTTGCGCTAGTTGGATCTCCTTTGCCGAAGTCACAAGAGAAGAACAACAATTGCCTAACTCAATTAATCGCAATGTAGAAATCTGCTTAAAATCATTTGGAAGTTTTTCCAAGTCCCAACAATATTTTAGAATTAGATGCTCCAAAGCTGGGAAATGGTTTGCATTTGCATTCCAATGTTCGAGATCAGAGCGCTCAATAAGGAAGAACCTTAGTTGTAGAAACTCCCCATGCCTTGGTGTCCACTTTGGGCCACAAACAGCAAAATCTTTCAATTTGAGTAAATCAAGGTTGGGTAACATGCCAATAATGTCTATATCTTCCCATGAAAGATACGTATTACTAAGGGTCAATTGCTTGAGGTTTGATGGAAAACAATTTGGAAGATTAAACCGCTCTACCCTTCCTGTTTTAACCTTTAACTTCTCAAGTTGATGTAACTGAGCAAGGTTGTCAAGAGCATTAGGCAATACTTCACCTTCAATGTAGATCCCCAACTCCTTCAGGTTTGGAACTCTTGTAAAGTTTGTTGTTCTTGAGTCCCAGCCGGTAACTTTGAACCATGAAAGAGTTTGCAAGTTCTTTTGAACCAAGTTTGGGAGATAAGATGAAGATCCCTTGTCAAAGCGCACATGCCTTAACCATGGCAAATCCAAAACATCACACGGCAGTTGCAGTTGATACTCTTTTGTCCATGCGGAGAGAATGAGAGTTTGCAAACTTTGGAGCATAAACAATTGAGAGTTACAAATAGAACCTATAGTTGTTAAAGCTAAATATCTTAAATGAACCAAATTCATAATCTCGCTAGGCATGCCATGCCAATATTTTATTAGTGATAAGTCCAATACTCTTAACAACTTCAAAGATAAGAATATCGCAGAACACTTTGCAAGATATAAATTTTCCTTAAAGTAGAAAAGGGAACGAGTTTTAAGTGAAGAGTTAGTAATTGACCAACAACTATCTTGATGACTTACCCAACGACGCTCTTCAAGATACTTATTATCTTCCATCATACTAACCATCATAATATCCTCCTCAATTGCTTTTTTCACGCAAAAGTTATGTAATATACCATGAAGCATACATGATTTGATTTTTCTATCCAAACTCCTCTTGTGAATGTGAACTAGCCTTCTATTGATAAGATCACACAAATAATCTTTAGCTATCTCTTCTAAACTCTTGTTCATCTCCGGGTTTACAAATCCTTCAGCTACCCATAACTTTATCAACTTTTTCACATGAATTTCAGTATTCTCAGGGAAAACTTGGAAATAAAGAAAACAAGGTTTTAGGTGAGTAGGCAAATAGTGGTAGCAAACTTCAAATATGTAATACAATATCTCAAAACGATCCTCGCATGATGAAATGATGAACAGAATATCCTCCCACTGCCTTGGTGAGTTGTTGAGTGTAGCCAGAAGTGCACCAATCAAAACAATTACTAGTGGTATTCCCCAACATTTCTCAACAATGCATCTCCCTATTATCTCAAATTCAGGGGGTAGACTACTACATTTTCCATTAGACGTTGCAGTTTTGCAAAATAATTTCCAGCTTTCTTCTGAATTCAGAGAACATGTTCTGTAAATGCACATAGAGCCAGTATATTCAGCCGTTTGCAGAAGTCGAGTAGTTATCAGAACTCGACTTCCATCACTATTGCGTGGAAAAGATGTACAGATATAATCCCATGCCTCTGTGGTCCAAAGGTCATCAATGACAATGAAATACCTTTGACCCATCAGAAGTTTGCGGAGTTGCTCTGCTAGCTGCTCATCATCTTGTTTGGAGATTTCTTCTTTGCTCAATGACACAATACAACTTAAAATATCAATCACTACATTTCTCTTGCTCTGTACTTCACCTTCAACCGTCCATGCTTGAATGTCAAAGTGAGACATAATAGATGGATCTCCGTAAACTTTTTCGGCCAAAGTAGTCTTACCGGTCCCTCTATCTCCCAGAATTGAAACGACTTGTAGTTGAGTGGACGAAGAAGTTTGAATGAGCATGCCTTTTATTTCCTCAACATCCCCTTCGATTCCTATCGTTGTATTCTCAAAATCATGCTCTAAATCATACTTGGAGGAGGAGGAGACACCATCCCTGACGTATCTCTGAATTGAGGCTGTATGTCTTGTTTGCAAATCTCTGATGCGCACCTCAATACACTCAAAATCCTTCACTACTTTCTGCAAGCACCGATGAAGATCTTCATAAGCTGCAGCCATTACTGCTACTGCGCACTCTCCCTCACCCTGCTGGTGCTGGTTAGCCGCCAAGTAAACATCACCCAGTTTGGATTCGATTTCATCTTCTGCTTTCTTTGCAACATCTCTGATTTCTTCATTCAGCCTTTCCACTGCCTGGAGATCGGGATAATTTGAGCTTATGGGAATGGGGTTAGGTTTGTGAAGATAGGCGTGCAGGAAATGGAGCTTGTCCTTTAAGGTGGATAGGATGATTTGAGCATCATCTAGATCTATCTCAGGAAGAATCAAACAAGGATTGTTTTTATTATGAAGAAGAAGAAGCTGTAGTTGATCTACTATTCCTAGCAGACTACTTACAACAACACAATCCATTGCTGATCGAATTGAATTGCTTTTTCTCTTCGATCTTCTTTTTCTCAACTACTGATGGATCTGAGTATTTGGTTGGTGTTATTGTTCAAACAATAATCAAAACATACAACGGATAAAACATATAAGGGTTCCTTGGATTGTGTTGGGGTTTATTTGAATTGTGATGGATAAAGCTGGCCGGCAACCTGCGCGCATAATCACTACGTAGCTGTCTACCATTTGCAATATAATGATTTTAAAATTCTACAATACTCACAACCATAGCTTCACTTCTCTATTATATCAATACAATACAATAATCTATACTATATAGCGTATAACATGTCCACATGTTCCTCTTAGCAATAAGTAATTTTTTAATATTTCTTTCACTATCAAGTAAAAGATTTTATGACAAAGTATTACTCTCATCATGTGTGTTTTATTAATTAGTTAGAATATAATATATATATATATATATATATATATATATATATATATGATAGAGATCAATTAAGTGAGGATAGTAACTCACATAAGAAGTGTGGACTAATGACAATCTTTGGATTGTGAATTTAGACGGCTGAGATTGCACAAATGGTTAGATTAAAAATTACGAAATAAGCGGTGAAATCGCAGAGAGTAAAGACGCTAGGGGGTAATTTAGTAAAAATGTTGGGATCTTGTTAACATGCATCTTGAAAGGAAAATTACGTCAAACTCGGTTGCATTATATTACCAAAACATCTTCCCCTTCGTTTACTAGCTTAGCATGCATAATGCTCAAACGACACGAACAGATTCCCAAAGCATTATGCCCTGGACCTGAGTCCACCATATGCATAGTGGACACGCTGTACATTCATAATTTTTATATTGTAGATTCATAATTTTTATACTGTAAATTCATAAAATTTATAATGTAGATTCATAATTTCTATACTGCACATTCATAATTTCTGTACTTTAGACACATAATTTCTATATTGCACATTCAAAATTTCTGTACTGTAGATTCATAGTTTCTATACTGTAGATTCATAATTTTTATAGTGTAGATTCATAAAATTTATAACGTAGATTCATAATTTCTATACTGCACATTCATAATTTTTGTATTGGTGATAACTATGTGTTCATAATTTGATAACGATACAGGTTAGAAATTATGAATCTACATTACAGAAATTATGAATCTACAGTATAGAAAATATGAATGTGCAGTATAGAAATTATGAATCTACATTATAAATTTCTTGAATCTACAGTTTAGAAATTATGAATCTACATTATAAGATGACGAGAGTCTCCTCTTCGGTCTCCGCCTCCACCATTGCCGATGACAAAGTTGCCCGGCCTCTGCCTCAGCCCTTTTCGCCGACGACGAAGCTGCCCGGCCTCTGCCTCTGCCCTTGCCGACGTCGACGAAGTTGTCCGGCACTCCGGCCTCCACCTCAGACTCGAAGGCCGAAACAAGCATAAGAAATTTAGAATTCCTATTTCCTTTTTTCTCTTTAACAAAACAAAATTGTAACTCCCACAAATTGTCAAGATCCGACCAACTCCGCTAAAATTGTCTCAGAATCCTTATTTTGGATCTTCGGTTGGATGTTGCCAGAACCTTTAACATCTCCAAGAATAAAGGGGTCGTTTACTTCGTTTCTCTGTTTTTCCATTTCCAGTTTTCCATTTTTCCATTTCTCCAGTTTTCCTTCTCCATTCTTCCAGTTTTCTATTTCTCCAATTTTCCAATTTTCATCCCACATTCCTCTAGTTCTTCATTTCTCTAATTTTTTGATTTTATTAAATACAATTATCTCATATAACATTTTTACATTTCTACAACAAAGATAATAATAATAATAATAATAATAATAATAATAATAATAATAAAAGGTAAAACTAATAATGATAATAATAATAATAATAATAATAATAATAATAATAATAATAATAATAATAATAATAATAATAATAAGAAGAAGAAGAAGAAGAAGAAGAAGAAGAAGAAGAAGAAGAAGAAGAAGAAGAAGAAGAAGAAGAAGAAGAAGAATAAGAATAATAATAATCTACTATACTAATAAGAATCCAAGAGAGTTAGGCCTATAATGGGTAGAAAAAATGACGGTTAAATATTTTAATCAAATATATGACTCAGATTGATCAGATTTTAATTTTCCCTTGAGATTTCTTAATTTATCCATAATGAATACGATTATTTGTTAACTTTTTCATTAAATATTATCTTTTTCGTTAATTTTTGTTAATTCACCGTTAACTTACTCATTGATTTCATTAAAAAGGTCTTAGGTTTGAACCTCAATACCTCATCCCAATCAAAATTGGTATAATTAGTACTCAGTTTTACTCTTATTAAATTAAATAATAATTTAGTAGCTACGAATAATAATAATAATAATAATAATAATAGTAATAATAATAATAATAAGACGTAGAATAAGAAAAATAATAATAATAAAGAAAATAAGAATAAGAATGATGATGATGGCGCAAGGCTAAAACTGAAGTGAAAACAAAACTGAAACAAGCGCACACAGCAGGATTCGAACTCACGACCACTTGAGCAATAGTACTATTCACCCGTGTTTCTCCCATCCTTCCATTTGGAGAAGTCCAAATTTCCTTTCTCCAAAATTGTACATGAAGTGGAAAAATGGAGGAGGAGTAGGCATTTGGAAGCAAAATTTTAGTAAACAACTTCTCCAATTTTTATTTTTCCACTTCTCAATTTCTCCATTTTTCTGGAAAATCCTCCATTTTTCCAAGTTAGTAAACGACCCCAAAGCTTTTTCTATGGAAACATCCTCTGGTAATGTCCAGGTTGAACTTCCATTTGTAGGTTGCACAGTCTGTAATGGTAAGCCATAAAGCCCAAAAAAAATAAAAAAAAATGCAAGTATAAATGAAAGATGACAGCTGAAATACTTAAAATTTTTGTAACAAATATTAGAGTTTTTCCATGATAATAAACATCCACTGCACCAGAATTGACAGGAGTAGTCTTACCACAGAAATCAACTTACACAATTAAACACCAAAAACTAAAAACCACTACTGGAAATTATGGAATTTCCGACCACCTGAAAGTGATCTTAAATCAAGTTGATACCAAAAAGAGGTCGGAAATAGCAACAAAGGTTTTTCCAGATACCAAAAGTGGTCGGAACAAGGTTTTTAACTTGATTTAAGATTACTTTTAGGTGGTTGGAAATTTCATAATTTCCAGTAGTGAACCTATTTCTGTCCAGTCGAAGCAATGCCCTCGTCGTTACTTCCAAAGCTTAATGATCTTGTCATGACTGGCTGAAGCAACCAAACCCGCCACTGTTAAAGTGTTAATACAGCCAACGAAGCAATCAATCATTCATGTGAAGGAAGCGTCATCGTTTTGTTTTGGGTCATGTTCCAAAGCTCTAGAGACTGCAAGAAATGCCCTTTGGTTAGTTAGTTAGCACAGAATCACATTCTTAAATGGATGTTATTGGAAGTTGAATATGCAAAGGTTTCATAGTAAGTAGAAACACGAGGAGTTGATAAATTGCAAAATTAATCTCTAGGAGTGGAGATAAGTTGATAACTTGCCTGGTAACGGCCAATAACTACCAATTGTTAGATATATTAAATAATAATATATCTATATAAGATATGTATATTATATACAACTAGTATTTGTCCCGTGCGATGCACGAAAAATATGTTATAAAAATATATCATATATGAGGTTTATTCATATATAAAAATTTTGTTATTTAATAATTATGTGTGAATTGCTATGATAAAATTATAAACATAAATATATTTACAATTAAAATAAAAATTGGTATTTAAGGTGGGTGATTACTACAAATCTTAAATTATATTAAAAATTTAGTACAAATCTTAAACGGCTTCGTAAAGATATCTGCAACTTGACATTCACTTGAACAATACTCAATGCTGATTTGTTTTTCAACAATCAACTCTCTGATTTTGTGATACTTGATATCAATGTGCTTGCTACGACCATGAAAGACTGGATTTTTGGACAACGAAATTGCTGACTTGTTGTCACAAAAAATAGTTGTAGGTGCTTCCTGCTCGTGTTGTAAGAACTCCAAAATTCTCCTCAGCCAAACTGCTTGAGTAGCACAGTTTGCTGCTGCAATATATTCTGCTTCTGCAGTTAAAAGTGCTACAATCTGCTGCTTCTTTGAAGACCAAGAAAATATAGTTGAACCAAGATAGAAGACATATCCTGATGTGCTTTTTCTGGTCTCAACATCTCCAGTCCAATCACTGTCTGTGTACCCAACAAATTCCACAGCTTCATTAGTAGAGTAAAAAAGTCCATCATTACTCGTACCTTTGAGTCTTTGACATATCTCAGAATTCGCTTTGCCGCAACCCAATGTGATTCTTTTGGTTCCTCCATGAATCTGCTAAGTAACTCCAAAAGAAATATCTGGCCTTGTTGCCACCAGATACCTCAAACTTCCAATTAAACTTTTATAAGCTGTAACATTCACATTCTTACCATACTCATCAACAAAATATGAGTCAATGCAACCATACCACGTCCTAGGCACTTGCTTTAAGCCATACAAGGCTTTTCTCAACCTATACACTTTATTTTCCTCTCCTTTCTTCAGAAATCCTGCAGGTTGCTCAACATATATTTCTTCTTCAAGAAAACCATTCAAAAAAGCAGACTTGACATCCATTTGATGCAATTTCCAATCATTTTGAGTAGCAAGAGAAATAACCATTCAAACTGTATCAAGTCTACTTACTGGGGCAAAAACCTCAAAATAATCAATACCTGGTTTCTGCTTGTAACCCTTTGCTACCAACCGTGCTTTAAAATGGTCAATCACTCCATTTGACTTGTACTTCGTTCTGTAAACCCACTTCACTCCAATTAGCTTCTTTCCAGGAGGTAAATCTGTTAACTCCCAGGTACCATTCTTTTCAATGGCACGTATCTCCTCATCCATCGTCTTAAGCCAATGAGTTTCTGTAGCAGCCTCCTCAAAAGTTAA